GTCTCTCTGACTTATAGATGATTATCTTGTGTCTAGGCTTTCCAACTGTGAGAATTGTTGCTGTCACGCTATTCTTTAAGAAAACTAGTCCTTTGGGCTAGGGTCAGTTAAGGTCAACTTTAAGTAACCATTTACTTTGATCACTCATTTGAAAGACCCATATCCAATGTCAGTTACCTTCTGAAGATCTAGGGATTGGGGAGTTCACTGCACAAATTTAGTTGGTATACAACTAACCCACACTGCTCACCCACTATTAGCTTGAATTTAAAAGCTATTTTAGGCAAAATATTCTTCCTCAGAGACAGCTTCCATATTTCTAACCCACTTCAAATGAGAGCAACTGGTAAGTCAGGAGACGCATAACCTAATTCTCTGAGACAGAATCTGGCTGGCTGCAAGGCTGAAGAGTATCCCATGTGGCTCAGTGCTGTGCCCCTGGAGAGGCAGGTGTTCCATTTCCATAGGGTGACCATTTTACCTGATCTCTATGTCTCACCATATTAAAAGTTATACTTCCCTTTGACTGAAAGACAGCAGCACATTTTGGGTCTACTCCTGTATCACATGGATTCTCAGAAGACAGGAAGTCATTTTTCAGTGTTTCCCTAGCTCTGTTCCCCACAGTCCTAGATCGTGATATTCATGCCAAAAGGCTGACTGAAAACACATGGCAATCCAATGTCTTCATCAGAAGTAATTGTTTCAGAGCTCTTTCAACTCACCTCAACATCTCACCCCTCCAATCCTTCCCCTCCCCCTTCCCCTTCTCTCTCCTACAAGTCTTGGTTTTAAATTTCATCAGTCATAAAATTCTTGCCTTCTTTTTATGTTACTATAGCAACCAGGGCATGCCATCAGCATTTTGTTGAGAATGTCAGCTAAATATCAAGCTAATTAGTTATTTTTTTAAAGTTATTCTTTCTGCAGAACTTAGATCATTAGAGATCACAACTTAATCTAGTTGTTTGCCACGTTATAACAAAAATCACCTTTCTAGAAGTTTCTGATAACTTGACACATTTCCATCTGAAAATGGAACAAATAGCAAAACTAAAGCACCCCTAAACACCCAAAATTTGAGTCTGCAAAAGCTTCAATTAAGTATGATTCAACCAGTTTTTACTATTTGTCACATGTAAGAAGTGATGTGTTAATTGGTACCAGAGTGACATGAAGACTTAAGTAGATAAAAAAGCAGAGTAACACTGGTTTTAGTGAGCTTCTTCAGGATACCCAGGAGTGTAGCACATAGCTATTCCTGCAGGTGTTGTGTGTGCAGCACTGTGCATGTGGAGGGCATTGAAGAACAGGAAGCAGAGGAGGGCTAAGCACTTCTCTGTTGTGGATGATTGAAAGGACTATGAGTATTGCTATAAAGTAATGCCACGGAGGGAGGTCATTTTTGCATACAAACTTGCATCTGATATAAATGTGTCTCTAATCCTATGGGAAATTCGTAGACTTCAGGAAGCATGGATAACCTTGCTATTGAGTTCCATAATTTTTCACTCATGTGGCTGGAGAGATAGCTCAGAAGTTATGAGCACTAAATGCTCTTAGAAAGGAACAGGATTTCAGTCCCAGGATACACATAGTGGCTCACAACCATATTTACTGCAATTGCAGGGAATTAACCATCCTCTGATGGCCTGTGCAGATACCAGTCATGAATGTCGCACACAGGCATACATGCATCTATGCATAAAAAAATCCATATGCATGGAATAAAATAAAAAATTCATATAGTTCTCTAATATTATAACACATAATAAAATATAATAATATGTCAAAATTACATAATGAAGAATTTTAAAATACATTTTAACAATTTTCAATGGTCTATTTGAAAACTGAGGAACTTGACTCCAAGTGAATGTAAAAATATACTATGTTTTATTCCTTTGCTTTTCTTTGCCATTTTCTTTTTGTTGCTCACAAAGTAATAAATGAAAATGGCCATCTAGAGACAAGGTGAAGACTTTCAAAGAACAAATCTGTTCCTTAAATTGAAGGATATAGCAATAAAATTTCTAGGCGGAAAAACTGAGCTGTCACCTTTGGAAGATCTGAATACTTTATTGACTTCCCAACCATGTGTATTAGTACCATACAATTCAGATAGTATTTCTCTCCAAGAAGAGAGGAAAAATGATATACCATTGAAACCAAAGAAAGCACCAGATTGAGACTCTCAAAACAGCTTTTGTTTCCTATAAAGGTTTTGGAGAAAATGATACACATCAAGTTTTCACAAAAGATACTAATAACGACCATTAGCCATCAGGCTAAAACCTACCTTAGTAAACATCTCCCCACACAAGGAGATGCGGGTCCTAAAAGGATGCCAAGGGAGCTGTATAGTCCTTTAGCTGGATTGCTTTTCATTGCATATGACCATTGGTGATAACGAACTTTTCTTATACTTATTTACGTGCTACAGCTGTAAGAACTGTAGATGCCTGAAACATTGCAAAGGCCTTTTTGTTTTTGATTTCAAATACCATGAAATTTCCTCCTAGAAGCCATGGGCATGAGAGAAAACCTGATCTCACTTTTCTACAATAGTTCTGCTTAAAAGCTGGACTTTAATAAGCTAAGTCTTTCTCATTGTAAAATTAATTTTGTCTCGTCTTCCATATTTTTTCTTTCATTGAAATCCTAACTACACTATGAAGAGAAATCTCTGCTGTTCTTTTCTGCTCTAAAATTCCCAGCTGTGTGTGAATTCTATCTGAATAGAGGCTTCAAACACCTAAATAGCTACCTCCTCCAATGCAATGAGACCCGTGTAACACTTAGCTTTCTGGGACTGAAGCTATTGGAGATTCTCTACTTCCTCAGTCAGTCCACAGGAGAGTATGCCTGGATAATCTTCTCCAACTTGTATTTCTTCTCAATTAATCTTTAGGGCAACTAACACCCCTCGAAAAGTGTTTGCAGCATGCCTGCTCCCAGGGATCTCTTGTCCTCTGTAACCTGCACTGTTGCTTCCACATATACTCTACTTTGAACATGCTCTGTTTTCCTCAGAATTTTCAGCTGTTCCTCACTTCTCAGACTCCTGTATTTTTTGTTTCAAAATATTACAACACCTAAAAGGTCTTTGCTTCTCCCACTTGGAGTCATAAATAATTCCTTATTCACCTGGTACCATGGTAATATTTGAATTATAACAATTAATGGCTAATTTTTATTCTATCTTCAAAGCGTTTCACCAACTGAAAATGAATTTTAAGTTTGTCAGCATTATACATTGGAAAGATGAAAGGATAGAACATAGAGTCCTATAATCTGTCAAAGGTGATCAGTACTGTTACCACAGTGTGTCATCCTGAGTAAAGTAGCAGTTAGAAAATAGCATAAGAGTTACAAAAAATATGGAGAATATATAATGTACTTCTGTGTCAGGTTTTGTGGTTATTAAACTATCTAAAATTACAAATGTCCTACTCACTGGTTATTTATATTTGGTTAATGAATTATTGAGAATGTAATAATATAACTTCTCCATTCTTCTTTTATGACTTAACTGTTTCAAGTGTGCATCATAATCATAATTATTCCTTCTGAAGGAGATAGAAAAATCAAAGAACAGACACAACTTCCATAAAGACAAATAGACACTGAGGTAATATTATATAAAAGTAAACTCATGTAAATACTGTGTTTTCTTCTTGCTGAGTTTACCGACTTCACTGCTTATCAGGCTCTGTTTCTGTCTGATAAAAATTAATTATTGCAGTGGGATTCCATGACCATTTGAATGAATATTCTTATTTTGATGACATAGAGAAACTTTGCACAGGAAGTCATCCTGGCACCTGTTTATGACAAAGAGACAAACCAGACCTGGTATGGTATGCAGGCTTTACACAAAAGCAGTGAAACACTGTCAGGATAAACCAAGGCTGAGATCCAAGGCACGGATTACTAGGATGATAAACCAACCTGAAATAAGTCTTCATTATTTTGTGGCCAAGAAGCACATGAAGTCAGTTATTCTGAATACCAGTGACTCACTGATCTATCTATTCATCCTTCCTCATGCATTCCCAGAATCAAGAACCATTTTCCTCTGAAGTGTCACCAAAACACTTTCCGTAGGACCCATGATCATCAGAACAATCCTCTTTGGTTTAAAAGAAACTGCCATCTTGAAAGTCAACTCTGCTCAGTTGAAACTTTCACCTCACAAACCCAATAGGTCATTATAACAAAGCAGCTGAGTTTGGAAATTAAATGCTAGCATTTAACACTACTGTGCTTTACAGTTTTATTAGGTAGCCTGACCATGCTTTAAGTGAGGTTACTCTGAAGTGCCCATTAAAAGCTGACGATTTTAACACTGAATATCAAGGAACACACCAGATATGAGCTATTCCTAAAACTCAAGTACATATGGAAAAATTAACATCAACTCTGGTGAGCCCAGAAGTGATCCTGGAAGTAAAAAAACATAGGCATTTATTTTCCATGGACAACCCCAACTTACCACAAACTGAAGGAAGAAAGAATAACCTATGATATAATGAAATTAAATTTCTTGAAATGCTCTGGCATGCACCTATTTCTTGTCTTAGTAAATCATACAGTTTCTAATATAAATTTAAGAAACAAATAGTATATTATCCCATCAGTTTATGAAATAAAGAAGTTGAAGCTAAAAAAAATCACTGTTCCAAATATAGTAGTTACAGATTTTAAGTCACTTGTTGGATGTCCTTCTTGGATTAAAGTCTACTGTCCTGCATGCATGTTTTTACGAGACGGCATGAGTAGCATTTTTATCACTTGCTATATTTCTACATACTCTAGCAGTCTGTGGCGTACACAGTTATCTGTGAGCGAAGCATAGGTTAAGTACATGTGACAGAGATGAGCCCCAAGATTAAGTATACACTGTGAAATGCATGTGGATGTTCATGATTTAAACCAATGAACTGTGGCCTGAAATGATGTCACAGGAAGCGCAGCAGTAAGTGGAAGGTTAAACCTACTTGCATCTCGGCTCATTAAACGCAGTTAAAGTGCAAATCCCCTCATTCTGACAGTAGTGATCACAAGGATTCTCTTTCTGGTCACAGCGCTGACTTTTAAACCCCACAGAGCATCTGCAGAATTCCAGTAAAATACAACTGAATAAAGAGTCTGACTTTTTGTCATATATGTTTAAATTTATGATAAACATTGACGATAACATAAAATAAAAATGATCCCAGGAATGCTTTCCTCCCTCACATACACTCTGAGAGTATATTCCTCTGAGGAGTTTAGGGACAGGTGTTTATGTGATTCATTCTGTGGATATCATTTCTTTACTCAGTTAAAACAAAACTCAGTACAGTGACCACACCAATGGAATGGCTTTCGGTGGTCTGCTCTACAAAATCAGAAAACTGAAAGGAGGAAAATATTAAATTCCCTAGGTATTTAGCAACCCAGTTGCATATAATGTTCTCTGAAAGAGCCAAGGATTAATTGGTTTATATTATTCCATACTGTAATTGTGATACAAAAAATCAGATAACATTATATATTTGAAAACATAGTTCATATTGTTTTAACAAGAATATTCCTAAGTACTAAGTAATTCAAACACACACACACACACCACATACACACACACATAAACACATGCATGTATGCATGCATGCATGCATGCCCACACACACACTAGATGACCTACAAATATGTAGATTTCACATAGCTTAATAAGGTCAATAAAACCAGAGCAAATTTCCAAGCATTTCCAAGTTGAAAATCTGTGAATGTATAAAATGACATGATGCTAAGAACTAAATGAGCTATTCCTCATGAGATCTTTAATAAGATGATGAGAAAGGGATTATGGAGCACATGAGCCAATGATGGACAATTGACTGAGATGTGCATGATACACCCACTTAAAGAAAATGTTGCCCCAAGAAAGGAAAACATTAGCATAGTGACTCTAGCTACATGCAGTCCTGTCTTAAGTTACCCATATTAGAAGATACTCACACACACACAGGTATGCTAGTTTCAGGATCCAGCTGGCATGTGCCACCATTGTAACAGTAACCATCACATAACTGACAGCTAGAGGCAATCTTTCCATTAGTACAGCTGCAGAAACAAAAGATAAAGAAAAAGAGACATTGTTACCACAAGAATTAATGCTGTTAAAGGTTGACACAAATTACCTGAAAGCTACAATGCACATCATCTGATAACACTCTAGTTTCTATGGAAATATAAATCGACCAGATGTCAAATTTCTGGGGGGAGATTTTTTCATTTTATTAGAATGATGATAGATTATTTTGAGTTTTGCTGATTTTCAATCCATTTGTTTGATAAAATTTTAAAGACTTATGCTCTTGTCTATCATTTATATGTTAGAGACATTATTAATTTCTTTTTCAGTTAATTAGGACTTGGTGACATCAGTATGAGTCATGAGCCACACTACAGAAGTACTATGCTTTTCTGTTCTGGAAAGAAATACTAGGATTGCAATTATTTTAAATCTATGTGAAGTTACATGTATTTGTATAGGTGTACATGCATTTATGTTCTTGTGTATATAGAGGCCAGAGCACAACATTGTGTGTCATCCTTGGGAATGCTATTCATCTCTGTCAAGTAGAGACTCTCACTGGCCTGATGGTTAACAATCGGGTAGACTGATTAGTTTGTAAACACTAGGGATTATCTTGGCTCTGCCTCTACAAAGTTGATTGCCCTGTGGTCTTAGGAATGGAAAGATGGTTCAGAAGGTAAAGGTATTTGCCACCCAAGCAGATAGCCTGCAACTCTCACAAGTGGTCCTCTGGACTCCCTGCACAATGTAGTATGACTGTACCCCATACCTGTGAACACATGCCTAAAAATAGATGCTATTGGAAGCAAATAAAATTAGTTCACCTGTTAAATACATATTATTAAATTCGATGCCCAAGATTTTGCTTTTTTTTGAGTCAAGGTGCTACATTCCAGCCCAGGCATGTGTGAAACTCATGGTATAGCCTAGGTTGGTCTAGAATTTCATGTAAATCCTCCAACCTCATCCTATTGGATACCACACTTACAGGTGTGATCTACTGTCTTCACAGTTTTATTGTCAAAATAGAGCTAGTCAGTAGAAACTAAAACTAACAGTAAAGAAGTATACAGGAGTATAAATGAGTTGGCATTTTTTTAAAAATCACATACTACAGAGTAATTACAGTCACATTACATGTCTGGGAAGAGAATAAACACCATCTTCTCTCAATGGAAAACGGACATAGTAATGTTCTGGGAAAAACACACTGTCTTATGTGTTAAAAAATTGTATTGGTCATAGAATACCGCTGAGGAAACTGGAAAAATGTATATCCATGTTCAAGGTAATTAGGTACACTGATATCCTTCTTGAAGAGTTGTAAGAAAGCTGTACAATGTTTTCTCAAAGTGGATCACAGTTTCATGTTAATGTTTTACATCAACTGGCAACAAAGTCTGGTATTTCGTGAGTCCAGACATGATCTTGGTAGTAATGTCAGGCTTCATAACTAATGCTTGATCATACTTACCCTTCCCACAGTGAATGACTTTTGTAGAACATCCCTTCCTAACTTTACACATGACTTTGATAATAAAATTATGTTATTTCATCTTCCTCAAGTTAAGTAACTATTTCAGTACAGCCCTCCTAGGGTATTACCTAGTGATGTTATGTTGTCTAAGAATAATAGGTTGGCTACACTCCTGTTCATAATTACATTACTATTTAGATATTCACCTGTCTTCCTGTAGGTTGTATTGTGAATGGAAATATACTAGCTGCATACAACTTTTATCAGTTTTTGAATTTGAAGACAGTTTTAAGAGCCTATATTTCAAAATAACATATCTTTTAAAAATCAATAGAAGTGGTGAATTCACTATGTTCAAGTTGTAAAATGGGGCTTTGTGAAACCATAGCCCATCCCAGGATAAGTGAGTGTGGTCTCATATTTCTGATATATTAGAGAGCATAACATCCTTTACAGTTGTCCTGAACAATGGCTTTGCAATACACATGCAAACTGAGCAAAATACACAGCCAAAAGTACTGTTAAGTGTTATGGCACTTGTTTTTCTTCTTCCCAAGCTTTATTGAGAAAAAAGACAGAAAAAGTTATAGGTTATTATTTCTTTAAAGGAATAATGTCAATGAGGAAAACTTAGCTCATTATATATTGGAGCATTTTACATAAAAATAACAATATACCAAACTATCTTATCTAAAAGAGGAAACCACATAAATTAATTGTTTTAAATTCCTGCCTTCAGTAGATATGATAACTTTTGCTTTTTCCCTTTTAATGTTTTATTTGAATTTTAAATTGAAGATAAAAGTTTATAAACATTTTTAAACAAGACAAAAATACCACTTAACACCTCAATCTACAGTATGTTATCATCTATGAAATCACATATGATTCAAACAATTTCATAGAGCATGGTTGAATCACTTCTCAAATGTTACTTACAAGTTACCCAGTAAATAAAAGAATTCTTAGGAAAGTCAATATCAGATGGATACTCTCTGGGATGTTCTACTTGAGGCCCAAGTTTTTCCTCAATAATATCTAGATTTATGTCTAAGAGAAAGCATGACAGATAGTGATGACTACTGTTATAATAGAGTCAGCAAACAATTTATAGCCATAAATATCATTGTAAGTGATAAAGACTCATCAAAAACATGTAATCAGTTCTGATGTAATCTGTTCAGAAGACAAGAGGAACATGACCCAATGCAGTGGAAACTTCTTAGAGTATATGAAGGGGATCCCAATAAAGTTTCCAAATAATGAGGGGATGGAGTCCCAACTGGCCATATCTTATCACAAAACAAAGTTTCCATTATTGGGCCTGGGTTATATACAATCAAATTTTTGGTCAAAGGGCTCCCATGGAACTCCTAAGCAAACAAAGCTGTTGCCATCACAATAGGCCCCAATTGTTGAAGAAAACACCCACATAACTCATTGAACATGAAGAGGTCAAGCTAGTGCCTCCATACTAACTTTATTTATATTTTCTAGTGTCCTTGGTATGTGGAGGTACTTTTATGGATATCAAAAGAGAAAGATAAGTACCAACCCAGCCACAAAACCATTGATCTACAATCTGTCCTGCCTACAAATGGACTAGGGCAATAGTGGCACAAAACTCCAGGGAATAACAAACCAATGTCTGATTTGACTTAAGGCCCACTTCATGAGAAAGAATCCAAATCTGGCACTGATTCAGTAACGAAAAATGAGAGACTAGATAGCTCAGAGTCCTAGGCTAAAACTAAAATGTTACTGACCCAAAAACAAACAAATAATTATTTAGAATGTAGTGATAAAATTGACACCTAATGATATTCTGCTCTACTCATGGATCATTGTCTTGCTCAGCCAGCATCAAAGTAGGTTCCTCCTTCAGCATATGGGAAAAAATATATCATCCCATAGCCAGACATAATGAAGAGACTGAAACCTTGGAACACACAGCTCCATGTGGAATTTCAAAAACAAATCCTTCCCCTCTGAGCTCAGCAAAGCCTGTGAAGGAGGAGGCAGAAAGTTTTTAAGAGCCAGAGGGAAAGGACACCAGAAGAACAAGGCCCTCTAAATCAAGTGAGCAAAGCTCTTACGAACTTAGAGACCAAAGCAGTAGGCACAGGGCCAACACTGGTCTGTACCAGGTCTTCTGTTGTTACATTACAGCTTTCAGTTTAGTTTTATTATGGGACTCCTGAATATGCAAACAAATAGATCTTTGATTCTTGTAAGTTCTCTTGGAATTCTTTTTTTTCCTGTTTCTGTTGTTCAATTTCAATGAGATGGCTTTTGTTTTATCTTATTGTACCTTATTTTATTTCAAACAGCAAACAAAAAAATTCCTCCACATCCACAAATTAAAATAAGGTTCTTTCATTTGCAAGAACTGTGGAACTTCGTGAGAACATGTGACTTGGGCAATACATGTGAACATTTATTTGATTTTATGTACTTATTAAAGAAATATCAGTCATATTTCTAACTACTTGACCTAAAAATTTTAATTATGCTTTCAAGTTATCCAAATTGCTAAGTTTAGCATATACCTTTCATAAAGATAATAAAACACATTTACAGTAAATTCTAAAGAAAGAATGAATAAAAATAGATACAACTTTTCAACATTGCCTGTAGTAAAATTTTATTGGACCTTGTTTGTCAGAGTGACATAACTCATCTGACAACTCCTAGAGTGCTCAGTAGCAGGGATACTTTATAGCACACTGTTATGTCTCTTGCTCTCATTCATTACCTTCCCAAATAAAGTAGATATCAGAACACATTCCTTTACAGGCACTTCTTTTAGAGGGTTATTTAAAGTACTTTGGCATGACAGTTGACATCTCACCTCATTTCAAGAACTTATTTCATGATACATGCTGAATGGCATGAGCCTTAGCTCCTGGGTTCTATTGCTATTTACTTAGTTGTAAAGACAAATTTAAAAAGTCAACCAAAGTAGAACTTGGACATATCCATTATAATTTCTAGAACCAATAATTCCATGTTCTTGTTTAGTTAGAAATTTCCAAATCAGACTAAGAAAAGAAATATCTTAGTGCCTATGTCCACTGGAGATACATTGCTTCTCTACAGAAAGATCAACTAAAAGCAGTAAAATAAAAATTAAGTCTCACAATCAGAAAGCAGCAATAAAAAAATTGAATCTACTCACTGTGACTAATAATGAGAAATCGCTAAAGGCTTACTTTGAACTTTCCATATACTTGCATCCGTCATCCTAGCACTCAAGATGCTTTGGGTATGGAGGTTAGAAGACAATGTTTAGGAGTTGGTTATTTCCTTCTAAACTGTGGGTTATGGTATTGAACTCACATAATCAAACTTGTTCTATAATGTCAAAGAGTACTCCTACCTAATTCTATTGAATGTAACACTGGTGTGATTTGTTATGTCTTCCTACTTTTTTATGGTCAAAATATAGTTAATCAGTGAAAATCTAAAACTAAGTAAAACACAAGATTTAAAATAAATAACATGCAAATGTATATGTGGTTCTAAGCCTAGCACCTTTACCTGCTGAGCCATTTCACTGACCTTTATACAACAAGATGATCTTGGGTTGATGAGCTTTCACTACCAGATACCATAAATACCTAATACTGCTGTTTTCTTATGTTTTTGTCTCTACCATGCCTCCCTCTACCATCTCTTATTCCTCTTCCTATCCTTTCTTTTGTTTTTCCTATAAATTAAACTCTTATTTATTATTTTAATTTTAAATAGCTTGTTTTACATGTCAATCCCTGCTCCCTCTCCCTCCCCTCCTCCTGCACCCCCCTACCATCCCACCCAGACTCCCATCCTATGGCCACTTCCTTCCACATAGGGGATATCTAGAGTCTGTCATTTCACTCAGGGCAGGGTCCAGGCACTCCCCTAAGATTCCAGGATGAGAGAGAGTCTGTCTTTATGTTATGGACACACAAAGTCCGTTTGTATGCCAGGGATAAACATTGATCCACTGCCCAGGGCCCCATAAGTTGCCCAGGCCTCCTCACTGACTCTCACACTCAGGGGGTCTGGATCAGTCCCATGCTGGCCTCCCAGCTGTCGGTCTGGGGTCCAAGAACTCTCCCCTGTTTAGATCAGCTGTCTTTGTTGGTTTTGCTAGCCCGTTCTTTGCCAATTTGCTCATCGCTCCTCTCTCTCTGTCACTGGGTTCCATGGGTTCAGTTCAGTGTTCAACAGTGGATGTTTGTCTCTGCTTCCATCAGTCCCTGGATGAAGGCCCCAGGATGGTTATAGACATCAAGTTTATTATCAGGAATGGGCATTCAAGGCGGTCTCTCCACTACTGTTTAGCTTGCCAGTTGCTGTCTCTTAATAGGAAAACATGGTCCTATCTTTAGCTCTACATATAGATTTTTAAATATATTTTGCTATTGCTTATTTCTTGGGTATATTTTATCACTGGAATAACATGTTACACCATTGATATTCACCTTCTTTGGATATTCACAAACGTGTTGAAGAGTGAGCTTATTTGAACTTCACTGCTGTTTTAAAAATGAACTGCTGGACATGCAGAATATAGAATAAAAATACATTGACTTCTTGGTTTATTTCTAAACTACATATTTTTGGTATATAGGTGCTTTATAAATAAAGCTAGATACCTACTTACTTGCAAAGTATATCTTCGTTGTCTTTATTTATAATACAGTGACCCCCATGGCATCGAATACATTTGTCAATCTCACATTTTGGTCCTTCATATCGTGTTGGACAGACACACTCAACACTTCCATCATTCCCAATGATACATGATTCTGAATTCACACAATAGTGGTGGCACACATCTAGGAGGAAGAACAATATTTAAATGATGCTGTAATGTATTTCTTTCAGTCTTATAAATTATGTTATTTTGCTTAATATAAAAATGATCACATGATAGATAAAATAATTTTTAAAAATCAGCTTGTATAATATACAAAATAGACTTCTTAGGTAATTCTTTCATTCCTCCCTGTTGGAGGTCATGGAAACATATAGCAATTGATAATTCAGGCATTCATATAGGAATGTCATGGAATTTTTACAAATTTATGATATTTAAGTTTGTGGTACAAAAATGTAAATACTTAATTACATTTACCACAGGGTTTGTATTTGCATGCAGCAATTTCTTTTTAGCTATCTAGCTGTTAAGTAATATTAAATGAGATTAGCTCTACAAATATAATCTTTTATGTCAATGATGCTGAATGTGGAAATTAAAATATCATTTATAATTTTCATGTATGCATGCTTGCCTAGACCTTTATTAAATTAGACAGAAAATGAAGTTATTGACAGGTTTATTTCATATTAATGAAAGCTGATTTTAAGTATACTCCCTCTTCCTGTTGTGTATACTCATTTTGATTCATTATTTAAACCCACCAACATGGTTTTCGACTAAATGTAAGAAGAGTAACATTTTCAAAAAGTGAGAGACTCAGAACTCTGAACACCAAAGGGGATCGGTATCTATGTACCAGTTTCTGGTGTAGTTTCTGGCCTATACAGGGCATACTGCATGTTATGTTAACTTGTTGTAGCTTGTCACATATATCATACACTGCAGATGATTGGTTTCATAGCATATAATATAATTCAAAAAATATCAGAAGAGTTCTTGTTCATGATCAGTTTGTAGAACTAGCAGATGGTAGAATAACAGTTTAGTAGTGGTCTCCAAGTTGCATTTTACTAAGTCAACCACTTTCTGCTTCTAAAACAGGAATACTCTTGAACCTTTCCTTGAGACATTCAAAGGAGAACAAGGAGGTTTCATATTCCATGTTCTTAGGCCTTGACAACCTAGTTTAGGACGTGTCCAAAAGCAGGGCTGCTTTCAACACTCTAGTTGGAGAGCTGTTTCTCTGGGCCTGTTTAAAATCTTCCATTTTCCACTTTTCTTGTGGTTTACAATGTCTAAGATCTGCATTCTTGGTTATCATCCCTTCCATAGTATGTGCAGTGTTCTTGTTCTCTCTTCTATTCTTTTTCTTCTTCCTCCTTTTCATATTTTTTTAAAACCTCAAAACAAATTTCAATGGATTTATTTTTATTTTAATAAATTTTATTTACATTAGAAACAATCTTACTTTATCATTCCAGTTCTGTTTTCCTCTCATCCTCCTATGTTCCCCACTGACCCCCCCATCCCATATCCAATCTGCTCCCCAGGGAGGGTGAGGCCTTCCATAAAGGTCGTTAGAATCTGTCAATTCATTTGGAACAGGGCCTAGGCCCTCCCACATGTATCTAGGCTAGAAAGTTAATTTGTGCACTAGGGATACATCCTGGTTCTACTGCCAGAGGCCCCATAGACTGCCCAGCCCTCCTAGCTGATACCCATGTTCAGGGGACCTGGTTTGGTCCTATGTTGGCTCCCTAGCTGTCAGACTGAGGTCCCTGAGCCCCCACTTTCTCAGGTCATCTATTTCTGTAGGTTTTCCCAACATGATTTTGACAGCTTTGTTTGTCATTCCTCCCTCTCTACAACTGGATTCCAGGAGTTCAACTCAGTGCTTAGCTGTGGATCTCTGCTTCTGCTTCAATCAGCTACTGGATGAAGGCTCTAGAATAGGAGTACTACTCAGCAGGAAAAAAACCAATGAAATCTTGAAATTCACATGCAAATAGATGGAAATAGAAGAAACCATCCTAAGTGAGGTAACTTAGTCACAGAAAGGTAAACATGGCATGTACTCACTCATACATGGATATTAGCCATAGAGAAAATAATTACCAGACTATAATCCATACCTCCAGAGAAGCTAGGAAACAAGGAAGACCTTAAAAAAGACATACATGTTCCAATGGTGAAGGGGAAATGGACAAGAGCTCCCGAAAAAAAATGGGACCATGGGGGGAGGGTAAGGGAGTTAGGAGAAAGAGGAGGGGAGAAAAGGAGGGGGGAGGAGAACATGAGGGATCAGGAAGATGGAGTCTGGAGATAAATAGAGGAGAGCAAGAAAAGAGACACATCAATAGAGAGAGCCATTATAGGTTTAAAGAGAAATCTGGTACTAGGGAAATGTCCAGAGATTTACAAGGATGACCCTAACTAGAATTATAAGCAATAGTGGAGAGGGTATCTTAAATGCCCTTCCCCAAAGATGAGAATGATGACTACCTTTTCATATTTTTGACTGTTGTATTAAAGCCTTCTCCTCTCACTGATTTTCAGCTTCATGATTCCTAACCATAGGAGAAAAATGGTATTGAACAGGCTGCTTAAAACTTGTATTTCTTATTTTTCTGTGATCAAACTCCATCACCAAAGACAGTACAAAGAATTCAGAGTTTATTTTGCCATACGGTTACAGAGGAATAAGACTCCATTTAGGTAGGGCAGAGGCTTGGGCAAAAGTTGTGGGCATGACACCAGGCATAAGAATATGAGAGACCACATCTGTAATTACAACACAAAGTAAAGAACAGACTGTAAGTTGAAGAAATGCATCCTCAAAGTCCATCCCTAGTGACATACTTTTTCCAGCATAAGCCATGCTTTATAAGCCTCACAAAGCAATAATGCCAACTGGGACCAAGTGTTCAATTATCTTAGACCTACTGGAGTTTTTTCTCATTCAAACTTTGACATTTCACTCCCTGAATCCATTATACTCAGAGTTCCATCATAAAGAAGAATGCATCAAGTCCAATTACAAAAGTCCTTAGGTTCTTTCATAGTTTCAACATGGTTCAAAAGTCCAAAGTCTGTTCTAAGTAAGACTCAAGACAATGTCTTTTTATTTATTTATTTATTTGTTTGTTTGTTTTTTGAGACAGGATTTCTCTGTATTGTTTTTAAGGTTATCCTGAAACTCACTCTATACACCAGGCTGGCCTCAAACTCACAGAGATCTGCCTGCCTCTGCCTCTCAAGTCCCGGGATTAAAGGAGTGTGCCAGCAATGCCCGGCTCAAGACAATGTCTTAATTTTAGCCACTTTTAAAATCAGAAGGCAGGTTTCAGATAGTATACAGCGAGGAAATACGTCAAAACTTGACTGCGATTCATCAGAGTAAAAGCAAATCCTGTAGCTCAATTTCAAGTGTCAAAGTTCTTAAATTGGTTCAGTCCTCCAGCTTTGCTGCCTGCACAAATATATCTTTGCTGGGCTGATGTTACTCCCTGAATTCAGCTTTCCACAGTAGATGACACAGTCATCTGCAGCATCTTGGAGTCTTCACTGCAAGCCAGGGTTCACTTTCAGATGTTTAAGCAGGAACTACCCTGCCACAGGCTGCCTCAGCAACTTTTATAAAACTATGGAATATTAATCTGTTGCCCCAACATACTTCCACCCTAGGCTGAAGGCTGAGAGGCCAGCATGGGACTGATCCAACCCCCCTAAATTGGGTGTCAGTGAGGAGGCCTGGGGTAGTAGATCAGTATTTATCCCTGGCGTAAGAGGACCTTGGGAGCCCATTCTACATGGAGGGATGCTACCTCAGCCTGGACACACGAGGGAGAGCCAGGGCCTTGCTCCAGATGATATGAAATACTTTAAAGATTCCCCCATGGAGGGCCTCACTCCCACTGGGGAGTGGAGTGGGTATTGAGTGGGAGGATGGAGGGGTTGGGGGACAGGAGAGGAGGGGAGGGTGAGGGAGTTGGAATTGACAGGTGAAGCAAGCTTGTTTCTAATTTAAATAAATAAAAAGTATACAAATAACTGCAAAAAGTCCTGCTAATGGAATTTTAAATACATAATTTAATAAGCATTTGAGGCCCAGTACAGCTTCCACTTCACCTTCACTATTATCCCAAGAATGGGAGGCCATCTGAACTCTCCATATTACTTCATGGAGAATGGTTTCCAATTTCTTCCCAGTATGCATATAATAAAGATGACTTTCCAGGTTTGTCAACAATAGCACATTTCAGTGCACATTTATGTATGGATGGCATTTTAAAAATACCCTGAATCTGAATGGCATGAAGACTAAGTTCAGTCTTTTAACATCCTACCAATATGACATCACCAGGAATACTATAGTCATCTTCAAATGTAGCCCCTGATGCTAATCACAGTTAAGTTTACATCATGAATCTCTTCACACTCCTCAGTTTCCCTCAGTACCTGCTTTACATCATCAAGGATGCTTTGAGTAAAATGATGCCTGTACATATTATGCTTAAACACACATTTTAAAATCTCTTCTACATGCATGAGTCATGTGATAATTTTTGCTTAACTGAAGTGCCTAGTAAATTTTGAAGGGTATACAAGATCACACTTGATTAATGAGAGAATGAAAAATTGAACACAAATAGACTTACTTCTTGAGAAAAGAAATCTTATGTTAGCTATTGAGTCATGTATGTGCTCTGAAAGAAACTTTCAAAATTATTTAGAAAGGATGTATTTTTGTTCATTGTACACAATTAAAAGTGACTATTCCATATTTTGGCTACTTTAACTCCTAACAGTAATTTAAGTAAAAAGGTTTCTACATAGTTGAAGCAGATGACTAAGATATTTGTGTGGCACCAAGGAAACCTACAATATGGGCTTAGGAACACATCCGATTCCCATACTAGAGACACCTGTTTATAGATAAGTGTCATTCCCAGATTCCCACTCCTAAGTCACACATTGTCTCTCTATCTATTAAGTCTCTAACATGAAGGAAATACTTTTTCATTTATGTGGTTTATCTGTGTGTTACCAGGCACAACCAACTCTAGATCCATTTACTCACATTCAATAAGAAAAAAAGCAGCTAAGAATTTACAAAGCCAGACTTCTGAAAACATCACTGTACAGAAGATGGTTTGGACGGGAAACATTTGGAAA